GATCCGCCTGGATATGCACGCAGTAGGAAGTAGTAGCACAGGGCCCAACAGAGGACGATTTATTCCCCCATTAGTTTTATTCAAGGTAATTATCAGGAAAAAAGTAGCACAAGGAGAAGTAGTAGATCCCTCCATCACTTTTAGGGAAAAAATTTCCCCTGAAAAGAAGAAGGCCACTAAGAAACGGAAGACAAAAACCTCCGAGTAATCTTATTTCAGAAAATTGCAAAGGGGGATTTGGAACCCTGAAAAGGAGAGGAAGATGTATTCACCTCATAATTTTATTATAGAAATATTCCCATAAAGAAATAATTATCCTAAAAGGAAGAGGAAGGATAGGATTTATCATGTTGCATCTTTTCTTCAACATGGAACATCTCCCCACTCCTCGGAATAGGGTCGTGACTGATGTCATAAAAAGGGAGCATATAGGAGGGTACCTGCTGTTTTATCTCATACATGTGCTGATTGATATTATAGTGAACAACTAGATTCCATCTGTACCTGACAGTGATGATTTTTTAGTTGTGTCCATTGATTCTCCATATAAATAGATATTTCGTTCTGACTAATTTAAGAACCTAAAGGAAAAACTTGTTTCGTAAAAATATGTTTAGAAATCATAAAAAATTGGATTACTCCTAAGAAGCTGATAATGCCCCATGTGGATATATATATTGGGGCAATATTTAGCATTAATTTAAGATGGTGTCTCTATGCAGGTTAGATAAGGGGATGGCTAACATTGTATCTTAAAAGACCTTGGTACTGATGGAATCCGCCTCGGAAATGCTGAAGGGCTTATATAGTCAGAAGGTTTAACCTGTAAAGGAGTGTATGTTTGACCTCTTCATATGTATCTAACACTCCATGTTATATATATATGCCTATGTGAAGGTATATCAATATAATCATAAGAATTGTAGGGAAATAATTAAGTGCTCGAATGTTCTATATGTTATGAAAAATTGTGATAATGAGTCAAACTGACACTAATATAAGCCAAAAGGTATGATACGCACTTCGACTACTCTCTATTGCGATATAATATTTTGCCCCTCCTAAGAAGTCCGGCGGAGAATCTTATTCAGATGAGGATGTGGAGAATTTTAGGGGTGTTCCTCCCCCGGTTTGGTAGTTTTCTTTTCTTGGTGACTCTATATTCCAATAGTAAAGACATGAATTTCTGTGTGCCTTTATAAAGGTTCAAGGATGGTTTAGGAAGGAAACTGCCTGGGTATCAACCCACATCCAAGGGGGTTAATCCTTCTACTGTCTTGAACTAACGACTATGGTACAATCAATAGTCAAATACTGTCACAGAGAGTCTTGATAATAGAGAAGGCATAGAATACAGTTACAAATACTAGGATAAGAAATATGAATAAGACATTAACATTAAGAAAGGCAAGGTACAAGACACGCTGGTTCCCTGTTGTTACAGGGATGGTCTATACAGGTGAGTAGGTAAACACCGTTATACCGATCTCTTTACGGAAAACATGGAGGGATCCAGTTAGATCCCATGTTATAGGACCGTAACTCTAACAGTAGAATTACAAACACGAATATGCAAGAATGAATCCTAGACTGGGATTCCGCGCCCCCTATTGAACAAATAGGGAATTGAGTAAATTTGCATCGAGGATTGTGCAAGAATGAATGATTCATTGGAATGAGGAAGAAAGTATACGACGTGTAAGAAATCCTTGTATAAGTAATAATTAAATAATCGATTGCGTAATTATTTCTTATAGACAAATAGAATTCATTCCTGTGGAAATCCTATTTTCTAAAGGAATATAAATAGTGAAGGCTGCAGGATGAGAAAATACAGATGGTATTCGAATATGGATGTAATAGTCGTATATATTAATTCATACATTATATAGCAGTAGGAAAAAGTGTCTCTTCCTGATGAAGTAATAAACTGAATAAGGAGAAGTAGCTATATGATTCCAACTATTCACACCTCATTAGGGGGGACATCATCTTCCTGTAAAATGATTTGTGGGAAGCCATTATATATTAGTGTGTATCCAGACGCCTCACCTGAGATGTAAGCAGGTCTAACTCCAACAATAGTTGCTGAGTATATACGGATCGGATGAAATACATGCTATTACAAGAGTAGCAGATGAATAAGGCCGGATCATTTAGACAGTGCCCCCATGTGCATAGGATCATAACATGTACAAAATGTGTTAAATAACTGATGAGCAGAACATTCCAGAGGAGTAATAAATATAACGAATCTGAGTTAGTACATCAAGAAGCGTTCTAAGTGTGTATAAACTCCAAAAATTATAAGCGAAAGGCTAAAATAATGATGGTTAATTACAGAGGCAGTATCAGAGTAGTAGCAGGAGGATGACAGAAAAATGATGAGAGTTAAAGTAGAATAGGACCTATATGAATATTTATAATAGTATATCAAACCCAAAGTAATATAAATCGCAGTGAGTAGTAATGGAGTCAAAAGGAATACAAATCAGCAGAATTTTAGGGGGTTTATTCTATTCCCTGCCATAAGATCTAATATCCTAGGATGGCTTCTTGTGATTTTATAACTACAGCTATATAGAAGTTTTAAATAACTTTCTTTAAATTTCTGTTGAACTATAAGAGCTATTATAATAGTTATTATGTCCATCCTAAACGAGAGCGCGAATTATGTGGGAAATATCCGATGCCATAGGGAATGTAGGTATAATAACCTTAGAGTATTCTGTCTGATTGTATCCTATAAAATAATTAGACAAGTATTCATTGTGAAAGGATAAATCAGATTTGATACCAAATTCGTCCTGAAGATTATGGTCCATATCGTAGAACTATTGTAGCTTAGGTTAGGCAGCTGTGAATTAAGATTAGTCAATAAAGTGTACGGAAATGGTTCAATGTGCAATTTACTTCATTTCTACTAGCATCACAAAAGAGGACATTAAAATAAGAGTTTATCGTCTTAAGGGACTCTCAAGAAAATGTCTATGAAAGCATGGTCTGACAAGTGGGCAAAAGTATAGCAAAAAACTGGGCAACCTTCAGTGTTATATGGATTACAACAGCTGAAAGTAACTTACAAGAGCTGGATATAAATAAATCACAAGTATATGGTGGAAGCTGACCGAACAGATTATATTCTTAAGACTAATAACAATAAAAATACAAAACTCGAGGTACATGAAAGACTGAGACAACTTACTGAATGCAATAAGATCAATACAAGCAGATAACTAATAAAGACGGATCAAATAGTATAGAAGAACATATAGGAGAAGCTGAAGACCGTAATGAACCTCAGGAGATGGTTGAGGCTCTCTCCTCCCCAACCGAACCCCCCGTGCAAGCCTACTGCTTGAAAGAAAAACCAAGGGAGCAATCCGGGGCAGTACCTATCCAGTGGGAAGCCCAAATAAGGACAGGTTTTCCTAAAAAAACACTAAGAAGAAGTTATTTTAGTGAAAATCTGTTCTTAGCAGGACAAATTCATCCAAGAGTAGGGAAATAATTCCCAGTATGTAAGTAGTCTCACTAAACAGAAGTCCCTTTGATGTCCAAATTAAGAGGAAAAGAAAGGATACAGCAGTCCAGGAAAACCCGTGTAAACACGAAAGGGAGTTGAAGGATGACTATTTCACTAATTAAGAGAAAGAGGGAATATATAAGGAAAAAGAGTTTAAGACAACTCTACTGCACAATACAGGAGTACTCCCAATAGTAAAATCCAGAACTGAGTCAACAGGGAACAGGCGATATGAATCCAGCAACACTTTCCCAGTGGGGGCTACTCCAAAAGAACAAATGTAACAGGACGTAATGGCATTCCCTATAAACAAGAAAGAGGAGACGCCCCCCCAATAGAAGAAGTGAACCTCATCATATGGAATGGGAAAAATGACCAAGCCTGAGTAGATAAGACGAGATCCGAATACGTATACGAGAAAATTACGAGACAAGAGAGCCAAAGATGACCTCGGAGGCAGATTAAGTTGAGGAACTGGCAATGTTAGGCATTTAGCCTTCAGAGTGATTAATAAGTTTCAGTCAGCCAAAGTATTAAGGACTAGGTCCCAAAATATCCATCTCCCAGAATTAACCCGAAGAGAGTAAAAGAACAGAAACCTAAGAAGACAGAGTATACCAGTAACAACTACCAGTAGAGACCCGAGAAGTAATTAAGAACAGAACAATCCAAAGAAGATCTAGGGAAACCTCAGACTTGCAAAGGAAAGTCAATCAAGGCTCTGGGATAATTTACGAGCAAAAATATCGCAACCCCCCCAACCTTAACTACATATGATCTGGGCTCCCTTATAACGGACATCCCCAAGACTAACAAAGAATTCTAGTTAATACTGATGACCAGTCGAAGAATATATTCAACCTTAATAAAGGAAGATGGAATCAAATATAGAAGCCCAAATGAGTTGGCGAACATTCAGAAGCCAGGAAATACCAGGTGGGCCCACAACTCGGGAGTACTCCATGGTACACAAAAGTGCAATCCTAAAAGGAAGTATTCCTGAGAGGGAAGGCACAGGAAGCCTCAAGAGAGTAATTAATCTAGAAGGACAACAAAGGGCTCCCCAAAGAAAAAATCCACCCCCTATAAAAAGAAAGAGTTAACCTAATCGAAACTAACCCATGCCCAGGCGTCATACCCCAAAAGTACGAAATAAGGTTCACGTATATCAACTAAAATTCGCTAGCCCGTAGGAGTAGTTCAAGGTATCGATTAACAAGTGAACAAATGTAAAAAATATCACCCCTACCGTAATGACCTAAATACTAAGAAGAAGAGTACAACGACAGGAGCAATCTCCTAAGACTCGAAGCAAACAACAAAACCCAAACGAGCATAAGTCTCAAAGGAAATAAAACCTTCCAAAAAAAATCTCCTGCCAAGCGTGCTACACCCGCGGAAAGGGCTTGCTAGGCCCATCTAAGCGCGGAATAGATTAGGATATCAAACAGCAGGAACACGAAATGAATGCAGCCCCAACGAGAGGTGTAAATAGGGGCTCCCCCTAAGCAAGAACATATGTTAGCAGCCGGACGAGTCTGCCAGAACAAACAAGTATTCTAGGGATGAGTAAGAATTCGAGGGAAGAATCACAATAAACCGCCCCTTAAGAGGCCGAAATCAGAATCCTACGTACGATAGATATCTGAGTGTCAGGGAGTGGTGAGCAAATTTCCCCCAACCGACTCACTCACCCAATCGAAGACAAACATTGGAGCTGGAAATACCAGTTCTGAAGAGTTAGGGAGCAAATCTAAAATCCTAGTACGACTGGACGGACGACAGTTTAAACCCCCCAGGGGAAGTATGGAAAGATTAAAGCAATGCCATTAAGGGAGGACTGCTCATAAGGCAGCTGATCAGGGAGAAATATCTGAAAGGAGGAAACAGAAGAGGGATTTATAACCATGGGGCTGGCTAAGAATGTTAATTGGAACTTGCATGATTGGGGCACCACCAAAAATAACTGGGGATATGCAACCCGCCCAGAAACTAAATGTACCAGAAACTCCACAGGCCAATATTGTTATGGAGAGTTAATGAAGCAGGACACCCCCAAATGGGATGGCCTGATTGAGTGGTTGAAAGCAGAGATATCAACCAGCGCCTCCTCGAAGTGGTCGAGAGATTTCGACCCAGATGTTGAAACAAACCTGAAGTGGAATGACAAATCACCATTAAACTGGGGTCAATTGCTCCATACAATAATAAAGCAGATCCAAACAGATCTAGTGGCAGATAATTCCTCCAAAAGCAAAGCATTGTTATGGTCCCGGGGGGACTGGTACACAGTCTTAAACCAAGGCGGTTGTCTAGATGATCCCTGGAACAGGAGTGATGTCGGTCGAGCACTCCTCATAACAATAGTTTGCCTTTTCACAGGGATGACAAGTTCGGCCACCGAAGAGGGCGTAAAGTATCCGGGGAGGGATAAGTTATGTGGTGATGTCGATCAGGCTCTAGTGGGGGATAAACAAACATGGAAACAGTTGCTGGGGAATCACGAACAGCTATCACAAGAGAAAAAATATAATTGTAGGGAACAAGGAAAGTCTAGAGGATGTGAGAGTGCAAGTATGAGTTTAGTTTTAACAGTATATAGAAGTTTGGCTAGTCTTTGTGAGAACTGTGGGCCCTATAGCATAGCTCGATGGGTTAACACCACTAGCGAGGACCAAGTAAACAAAGGGGAGTGGTATTGTGAAGTTAGCAACCGTGTAATACTGTGTGACAAGGCAGCTGCGAAGGAATGGCGAGTAAATGATTTAAGGATGGGCCCTATAACCCCAAACCCCATGAAAGCCCAAGATAAGGAAGCAAAGGAACAGGATCCTGGCGACAGAAGAGGTACCCCACTGGCCACATCAGGTGTACAATCCTCCACAACCTTTGTCCTGGCAGTCAAGAGTCCTACAACAGGGAGCGGCAACTCAGAGCAGGATAAGCAACAGACAGGAGAACCCAACGAACATGACCGTAATGCCTCCTATGAGAAGAATAAGCATACATCAAAGTCGTTTAAAGGAGCAGGGGAAACCGGGGAATCGAGGATGATTGAACAAGCCTCCTCCCAAGACCAGCGTGTCCCTACAAGGAGAGGGCCCAGGGAAGGTTCGGAGATCACCGACTCTGGAAACAGGAGCGAAGAACCAGGGAGTAATAATCTAGGCTCGAATTCAGAAGACTCAACTAAGAAACAGGACCTCTCAAGGCTTCTCACCCCCGAAGAGAGCAACAGTACGAGTATCCAACCCCATATAGGAGCACTAATAGGTGGTGTCATAACAGTTCTATTAATGGGGGTGGCAAGCGCCTATGGAATATTTCGAATTTGCAGAAGAAAAAGCGGGGGAAGAAAAGGGGGGGAAAGGATCAATATTTCAGTCCTTCCTGTTCCGAAATAGGGCAGAGTTGAGATTTAGGTTTCAGGTTGGAAAATGACCCATAGTAATCTGACCCTCCTCCCCAATAAAACTCCATAACATTGTCTATAGCCTTTAATCACAACCGTTGTGTGCAACCTGGGTGCACTAGGGGATCATGTCCACTATAGGATGACCTTCCTTGGATATATTAGTTATACCCCAAACACTATCTTAGGTGTCCATCTGAGTCCAGATTTAGTCTACATTGTGTTAGAATGTGTACCAACTTCCATTTTATGAGTCTATTATTGTGTCCATTATTAGTGATTCCACCCATGTATGGTTGTTAGAGGACTTAAATTGACCCAACTGAGGTAGTCAATAGAAGAATTCTACCACCATAATTATAGACAAGAAAGCGTCTTAGACAAGAAAGAATTGATCTATGAGTCAATCTATGGAATCGAACAACTTTGATGTCATCCATATTGGGA